TAATCGAGCAGTCTCATCACGTATGGTATCGGAGCTGAGTCTGCTACAAGCCGCAGCGATGGTTGATTTTTGTACTGAACAACTAAGACCACATTTGCCAATCCAATTTAAACCTTAACCAAGCCTGGACAAATCATGTAGTAACAATGATGTTTTATAGATTTGCATGAATAATAACGTATAGTTTGTTTCTTTATTCATATTGTTTATTCATTTATTTATCTTTAACAAAGTTTCTACATCAATTTTTATGGATTTTATACAATAAAATATAAATACAATCTTTAGGCCAATTACAGAAACATATTATGTACACATTAGATGCTAACGGCGTTATTATAAACTGATATTACATTTATTGTAAAACTATTGTATTTTCACCAGTCGTTCATGAGTTTCAAAGATTTGATGCTATTTGACGAGGGTGAAAGTCACGTTCAAAATTTCCTTTACATATATGTATTAGGTCCTTACATATGAAATTGGCGTATTGTACGGGAGGAATTTTTTTTTTTTTGTAAAATATATTTAATAAATCAAAGCTGTTAACTATGCACTTTTGCCATCCCATAGATAGTTCATTGATTCATTGGTTCGTTACTAAAAAAAACCATGGAGACGAGAATCAATAAACTCTTTTAAGGTGGTTTGGACTGCCGCATCCGAGTTGAATTTTTTTCCTTGTAAAAAGTTGTCCAAATGCCGGAAGAAATGGTAATCTGTTGAAGCAAGGTCCGGGAAGTACGGTGGATGTCGCAGACATTCCAATTGTAGTTCATCTAACTTAGTCGTTGTTTATTGTGCAGTGTGTGGTCTTGCGTTGTCGTGAAGCAGCAGTGGCCTAGATAGAGCGATTGACCAATCTCGATTGTTTAGCAGCTAGTTCTTATTTCATGGTTTGCAGTTGCTGACAATAGATATCTGCTGTAATCGTTTGGCCAGATTTGAGAAAGCTTTAGTGAACGACATCAGCGCTAGTCCACTAAACACTCACAAGTAACTTTTTCTGAGTTAATTTTCGTTAAGGGCAGGATTTGGCTGGGTCTCTAGGGTTCAGCCATTGCGACGAACGCTTCCGCTTATCGTACAGTATCCACTTTTCATCACAAGTAATGTTTCGATTTAAAATCCCTTCATTATTGTGTCGGTTGAGCAAAGTAACACAACAGTCGACGCGTGTTTGCAAGTTCGATTCACTCAATTCATGAATACAGTTTTGTCTCTTACCCCGAAGCCTGCAGCTATCTCTGAAGTGCTTTATGAAGGATTCGCTTCCACAATAGCTTCATTCTCTTCTCAATTGTAATTGTAGCTTCTATGGTTTTATTTAATTTTTAACATTTTATAGAAGTCTCTTAATTCCATCGTGAGAATATCAGTTTCTACTCGTATTATATGTTTATCCAAAGTTATCGAACCACATGTCGCATCACTACTGATGGTACTTTAGTAAATTTAAAGCGACTTGAACTTTTACACAGAGCATAGAAGTACAAAATTTTAACATTAAATTGAGCCTGACTTGTATTGATAGTTTGAGAATTATAGATACAACAACAAAATTGTACGGATTGTTAGCTACATTTACCCTAGATCGGGGGCAAATGTAGTAACTATAGGCGGCTTTAAGTGGAAAATCTTCATTTTGAAAATAATTTATTGCCTTACTATCAATCTGAACTCATCTTCGTTATCATTAATACATGTGTTATAAAAAAATGTATTTGGTAAATTGTATTAATAATGTAAAAATATTAGTTTGACATCATTTTTTAGTAGCTACTATTGCCCCGTGTGACCTAAAATATTTAACCCACTCATTTATCTCGCAGCTAACATGACCTTCTTTTCATTTTAATGCGACAATGTGGATAGATTGATTGAGAGATCTCAATTGCTACAACCTGTCAAAAAATTTACTTGCGGATGGCAGTCTGGATAATATTGTGAATACGGATATTTAAGATCCGGATAAACAGGTCTTTTCTGTATATGTGGGCTGGCATCAGAGGTGCGATAGATATCGGCTTAGATGTCGTAATTCTTGTTTTCATGATAATACGAGGTATTTCGCGAGAAATCGGCTTATTCAGTAGGTAAAAGAAGTAGCTTAACGCGATCTGACGGATTCAACGGAAATAATCTACTATTCGTAGAAATCTTTCATTTTCATAGAGAAATATGGATAACAACAAAATATGTTTTATCTTTAATAAAGAGTTTTATTTTATGCTTATAATAGTATATCTTTATATATCCCCATCCCCTACCCCGAGGAACCCTGGAACCTTACTCACTAACAGAAACACAACACAACCAAAAGGTATTTATTTATTTACTTACTTAGTGCACACACAATAAAACAGATAAGAAGAACAGGAACAAGACATTTGTACAAGGACACTGCTAAGGTAATGTTCCTTTACTGTTGTCTTCTGTAAGGCGGAGGTAGGTACTTCCCCAGGCGGGCGCTCCAATTCAAGCGGGAAATTTTCTATGCCATATCTTTTTAAAATATTAATATTTCGTCTAGATTTTCGCTAGTTTCATATATCTTGGTGTGATATTTTAACATATGGACTAATACTGTGGATGACTTCTGTGTTATAATATAAATTGATTGATTTCATAGGGACTCCAGTTAGTTTCCCTAAATAGACGTTACTTATATTCGTCAAACTGTTGCTTATTCTTACTTGTACCAAAGTTTTTAGTTTGTTATATTTTTCTATTTATTTTATTGTTCATGTTAATGTTATTTTCTTGTCAATTTTTAATCAGATGTTAATTAAAACATATGTGATATATCTATGAGTGATATCTCACATTATTCTTGAAGCACGTAGACAAGTGAAATTTTTTTTATCGCATCCGTTTATAGTTTGAATCCGCATCCTTTGTCGCAACTCGCAAGGACTTGGAGGAAGCGTATTTATTAGCCCTGCGACAGTCAGTAAACAGGGCGTCTACTTTATATTAAACCCGACGGTCCATCAGACACGCTATTAGCCCCTCCATTGCTAGCACTGGGTAGGTGAATCACAAACATTCAGACACGGCAAGCTTGCTTTCACTAGCACTATTAGGGTGATTGTGCTCCTTGAATAAAACAATTTAAAACAACAACAAACAAAATTAAGTTATATTTATTAGTCAGTTGGATTATCAAAAAATACTGGTCACGTATTTTTTCTTTTGTCAAACAACCAAAAAAATTTTGAGGGGGGCTGGTGACGTCACTTCTACTAAGTAAAAATTGTAACAAGACGTGACATCATGCGACATTTCAAATTGATATATCTTTGTAATATTTTGATTATGCGAATAATAAAAAAATACGTGTCCAATACTTTTTGATGATCTATCAGATAGATTCTTTCTGATAGATGAAGAAAAAAAGTTAGTCATCGTCCCTATTGTATAGGTAAGTAGCATTAAATTGAGCTACAGATTTAAGGTTTTTGATTTTTTCAACAGCAGAGAGAAAACAGCGTATTTATCTGTTTGGAAATCATCACATTGACTTATAGAGTAAGCTGCTATTACTGTAGGTACTATAATAATTAATTATTTTCGGTAATATGCACCAATGACCGATATTTTTTTCTGTGATCAATGAAAATAAGAGTGGGTGGCCGGTTGCTGTGTGTGACAACACCGAACTAAAGACGCTCAGTGTTCCCATGTTTAGTGATCGGTTGCCTACTCATATTTTCATTGATCACGGAAGAGAATTTCAATCATGGGTCAACTATCTTAATACCAATTCTTATATTCATTGAATTCTAATTATTGTTGTACCATGCGCCTATTATTATGTTATTAATCTTCTTCGCTATGACTGAAATTATTCATCGGTAGTAAAAAAAATTTTTTTGTAATATCTAGTCTTTTGAGTAATGTCTACAGTTTCGTATCTCTATAGCTCGACGGCGAATCCCTAATGAAACCGTTTCTATTTATTTTGCCGATACAAAATGAGAAATGAGTGCAGTAAACCTTAGATTGTTATTCGCACTAGGAGCTTTTCTTAAAATTATAACCTTTATTATACTGCAGAATAGAACTATGAAAACTTACATTTCACAAGTTATTCAAATTAAGTGTTGAAATAGCAGCTACTGAGGTACGTTTATATAAATGTCCTTTAGGTTTTTGTTAATTTTATCTGACTATTCATATTATTGTCATAAATAAATGTACTATTTTGTATATTTAAAACATACAAAACAGTTTGTATGCTACTCAAGTGAAATTAAGAGCTCCATTTAGAACTTACTAAAGTAATTAATCATGCATTGTCTTGATTTTATTCTAATATTATATTGGCACATACACATAATAACCGTAATTAGTAATAGAGATACATTATATTTGCGAATAATTGTATGATGAAGAAACAAAAGTCAGTAGGAAAAATAATACCAGACAAGGAATTGTCAGCGGTCCGCGAGCGGGCGCTCCTCACAATCCTGTGGATTAGGCCTCCAACACGCACGGGTGCGCCAACTTCGTATTTATGTTGGGTTCAAACCAAACAACTTGTAGGCTCTTTATTACAGTTGTTCTTTTCCGCTCACGACGTCGTTACCGTTTCGATAAAATATCGTGTCGATTCTTTGTTCCGAGCCGGGGCTTAAGTTTCGCTCAGGCGGGCTGCCGGTAGTTGATTCAGAATTAAGAATATAAACGTTTCCGTTCGCAGGAAACTGAATATTTATGGTGAGCTGCGCCGTTTCCATCGTGTGATTTTCATTGAAAATGTAAATTCAATTTTATTTACATTGAAACGGCGTTAATTTATTCATGTTTTATTTGGTGGTTTAGACTGTTTGGATTAGGTTGGTTCGGTTTATACAAAATTTACCGTCGCTAACACCAACATGTTTCTATTCATTTAATTCTGTGGTGTCATTTAAGAAAAAGAAGAATAAAAAAAAACTGCTAAAATTCCTTTTTTCATTCAATTGTTTTCTTTTCAGATGGAGTGACAAAATGTCATGAGCACGTCGAGGATGGAGAGGGCGGGACGGCGTGTGAAGGCCGGCTCGTTGAGCGGTCTGTCCGGCAGCGCAACCGGCGGGACGGGTGGCGTGCGGCGACAGCGCTCGCTCGAGTGGGGCGGCGACCGCTACAGCAGCAGCGACGACGACCGCCCGCCGCAACCGCCGCCGCTAGCAGACCGCGTTTTCGCATCGCTGCTCGCACAAGCCACTCAACAGTTCGATAGTAAGTGAATCAGTAGTAGAACCTTGAACGAGCGGTTTGTCGGTCAGAGCGACTAGCGGCGCGTGCAGCCTTCGGCAGTAGAATTCGGTTGTGTGGGCCGGCGACCGCTACAGTAATAGCGAGTGACCACGATCGCCCGCCGCAACTGCCGCCGCCAGCGGACCGCGTCTTGCAATCGTTGCTCGCGCAAGCTTCTCAGCCATTCGATGGTGAATGTATGTAAATATAATATCAGCAGAAGAAACATGAAATAAAAAATCTTTACGGCTTTAATTAAGTTTTTGTATTACATTCACGCTAGATTTTCTACTAACGTTTCATTCAAAACATTTGTTTATGCTGTTTTGATCAGAACAGAAGGAAAGAATAGAACCTTATTTTCATAAAGTCTATCAATGCTATTTTATAAAATGCAAGTTTCCAAAGCTGAATCAACTCAGCTCAAATCAATGTGCAGAATTACGACAAAAAGACGTCAATGGAAATATGATATACTTATAAAATGTCTTTTATCATCATCTACTTAGTTTAGATGTATCGTTTTTCTCATCCTTATAGTAATGTGAAGCGAACATTAATATATATTATTACTTTCACAACAGTTACTGCCACACCGCACAAAGTGTATAGGATCGCAATATGTCAGCCACATTAGTTTCATATTTGACGGACGAGCTGTTGCGGTGAGGCTTGGCGGGATCAACTTAGAATTTGTTATTCATTCAGCGACACGACCGAAGGTCCGCCCTGGGTCCTAACAAGTGGGATCATTAGTGAGGGCTCTGGGGCGCGGGGGGAGGGGATCACGGCAATTGATAGGGGAGCACCCTGCGGTGAGCTTATGAGGAAAACTTTACACGTAAACCCACAAAACCTTCTACGTTCTGTCATGCTAGCGAGGACTTGATGAAGTCGTAGAGAAGCGCGTATAATTTAAGGGGATTTCTATCGTAAGGGACTTCTTGTGAATGTTTGCGTATGTAGTACAATATAGTAAGAGGTTTAAAAATATTTCATTTCTCTAAATTGGAATCTAATATCATTCTATTTCTGGTTTGATTTCTCACTTAAATAATATTTTAGCCATTTAAAGGACCATGAGCCAAAATAAAATTAAAAAAAAATGAATTAAACTAAAACCGTCGTAATGTTATAGTATGCAAAAGTACTTATTGTTTAACATCTTAGCCCAAACAAATGCAAGCTATGTGGCGTCAATAAGATATGCAATTGTAATAATGGCTCTTCATGGACATGGAAATCCGTAGGAGTATTATGGCGGGAAAGTATGATTGTATTTTGTCAAAATTAAGGGTGCAGGTACATTAAGTACTATTTGTCTAATTTCAATTTAGTTAATATTGATAAGAGTCGAAATTGTAAAGGTTATATACATCTTAGTTAAGTTAGCATTTGAAAGATGTTAAGAAACTTTAATTGAAATTTGTAAAGATATTCCATTAAACATCAAATCTGAAAGATTACAAATTTCAATTGAATTTCATGTTTAATTGATTGTTTTATCTTTAAAAGTATAATTAAAACTGTGTCTTTTTAGGAGTTGACATTAGACAAAATAGTGGGGAGTAAGCTTAAACCTTTCTCAATCTACCGGTGCTTTTATGGTATTATTGGTTCGAGTCAGACGCACAGTGCATTGTAGGTTGTAACTTAGGCTCAACTAGCTTACCTAGGCTTATGATGAAAATTCGGCTGTCGTGGTAGTAAGTAAGAACAAACGTGTATTCCAATGTGTACATTAATTTGAATCTAATGCTATTGGTATTATGAGCTAGTGAGCATTGTTTGTGGATTTAAAATAACATTATTTTTATAGAGAAAAAACAGCATTTATTCATAAGATTTTCTTGCATTGCATAAGATAGGTTATTTGAATCACATGAGTAAAGAAACATACATTCCGTTATTTGAAAAGCGAGTCTAGGTATAGGAATGACAAATATTATTTTTGTAAGTTTACATGGATTTAACGTGAAATATAGAAAAAAGGGGTCGGTAAATTTTTCATTTCAAAAGATAAAAATAAATTATATCTCATTTAAGAATCCATAAAAATCATTGGAGTATACATACCTCTGGAAAATTGAGTCGTCTCGGCATGTTATTACTAGTGCACTTACTAAAGGGGCTGTTCGTTCTAGCAGAAATCATATTGAAGAAAATCACAATTCTAGGAAATGAATATATACATCTGAATACCACTTGAATATGTTTGAATGAAGGTATCTTATGGGTGTAAAAAGTATTTTTAAGAAATGACTGTATCTTGTCAGGTAGTGATATGAGAGTTTGAAAAGGCTCTCAGGGCGAAGTCACACACAACGCTTTAGATAAGATAAGATAATCATTTATTGACCAGAACTGTGTACAAATGGTTCTTAAAATTTGGTAGTGCCAACAGTTTGCCCATTTCAGGCGTACAACTACATTAAAATAATTCTTAGTAATTAAATGTCAGCTACATAAAATATTAATAAATTTACTCTCTAAACTATATTCATACAATGATAAATTACATTTCATAGCAAATAGCACTTAAACCAGTTATGTCATAATTATACATAGAATTGCAATTGTCAATGAACATTAAAATATTCTGCCAAACTATAAAAACATTTCGATAATAACCAGTGCCTAAGCTGTGTCTTGAATGGTTTACTTTCTAAAGCTTTAATGGAATTAGGTAAATGATTAAAGATCTTGATTCCAGTTGTTAGAAGACTTTTGTTACATATATGTGTATAACTAGATGACTTATAAATACACATATTATACGCATATTGCAATAGCAAGTTCTTTTTCACTTTGCTTTTTGATAAAAAAATGGCCTTTATTTTCTTTTACAAAAACAGAAATTTCGAAAATATAGGTGCATGTCAGAGTTAGGATCTTCAAATCTTTAAATACATTTCTCATTGATCCATATTTGTCAAGTTTTAGCTTGTTACGCAAACATTTCTTTTGTAATATAAATGTCGACTGTACATTTACTGAGTTACCTCAAAAAATTATGCCATCCATTAAAAGTGGGAAGACACTACATATGCACTCTTTGTTGCTTCCACTGAAGCTACATTTGACAAAATAGATGTAGCATAGCAACTGCTAGAGATTTTTTTATTTATGACCTCAATATGCGATTTCCAGTTCAAATGAGTATCAATGGTAACACTCAAAAATTTATTGTATTGCACATTCTTTATTTGCTTAATAACAATATTTAACTTTAAAAGCATTTTCTTATAATCCCTAAATAAACTCCATCAGCTTTGTTTTCCCAATGTTTACTTTTAAATTTAAAGAAGCCAGCCACTTTACTATTACGTCCAGTGTGTTATAAATTTCATTCATAAAATCAGCATCATTTAATTTGTCATTTGTCAAAAATATTGTCGCATCATCAGCAAACAAAACACATAAGTGTTGAATAATCAACGGTAGCTCGTTTATGTACACTAAAGAGAGGGGCGGTCCGAGAATTCTTCCTTGCGGGATGCCTAAACAAACTTTTTCAAAATCCGATAAGATGCGTACAGTAGTTTTTGATTTATTGTCAAATGTATCTAATAATATTGCCTGTGTTCTATTTGATAGGTGTGACTCCATTTATTTCAAAGCATTTCCTCGTATTCCAATATGTTACAGGTGTTTTAATAATATTTTATGTATGACACAATCAAATGCTTTTCACATATCCAGAAACATACCAATACAAGTTTTCTTCTCATCTATATCTTTTCATATTTGTTTCGAAATATTATATATGGCTAATGATGTATTTTTCCCTTTTTGGAAACCAAATTGATTTACATTTATTATTTTGTTTTTATTTATATAAACGATATTATTCTTTCGTAAATGACCTTTTCGAATATTTTGGAAAAATTGGATAATAAAGCAATCGGGCGGTAAATATTCAGCACCTTTTTTGTAAAGAGGTTGTACTAGAGTTTTTTTTCAGATCTTCTGGGAAGATTCCCATTTCTAAAGTCAAATTTATAATAAAGGTCAACGGATCAGTTAAAAAATTTACACTTGATTTTATTAATTTCATAGGTATGTTATCATGTCCTGTGTTTTATTTTTATTTTTTAATGATTTTATAGTTTTCTTAATTTCTTGGACATGAACTGGAGCCATAAAGATGCTGTTTATGTTAGCATGTGACACTAGATTGTGTTTTACTGCACTATTACGTAGTATGGAATTTTGTAAACTTAAAAAATGGGAATTCATTTGTTTCCCTATGTCAAGAGGTTCATTGGTTACAATATCACCTATCCTTACACTTTCTAATGATTCTTTGATAACATTTATTTTTGATGTATTTTTTTATATATTGCCACATAGTTTTATTTTAATTATCACTACGTTTCAAATATTTTAGATTTGTATTTATTTTTGATTGCCTAGTTACAGATTTAAGAACTTTGCAATATCCTTTGTACCTATTTTTAATAAGGGAACAGTTAGTACTGTTTTGTTCTTTGTTTTAAATATAACTTTCTTTTATTTTTACTAGCAATTAATATACCTTTCGTCTTCCAGTTAGGAGTATCATTATACTTTATAATGCGATTCTACTAAGAATAAGACTGGCTGGGTGCTATATTGTGACGTCTTAGCTGTCAATTGAAACGAAATAGGTAGAGTGAGCAAAAAAAGTTTTTATTTAATAAAACTTATTTACTAAGATTAAGTGAAAAATAGCATCAGTTTTATTTTAATAAAACTTATTTACTGAGATTAAGAAAAGAAAACAACCGATTCTTAATATTATTTATTTATTACAGTTTTTTCAATTCCGCTCATCTCTGCATTACCACCGGAGTAGTTATGAATAATCATGCACTATTACTAGGTCACATACGAACATGCATCCTTTATGTAAACAAAAGCGTCAAATCGAGTTTCTGAACGCAATTCAAAATGATATTTGGTTGACGATTTAGGTTAACAAACATTCATAGCCAAAGCTCAATAAATGAAAAATAAAATATCAACCAATATTAATTATCAATATTTGTTATTGTTTGTTTACAAATGTTTGATTTTTATTCTAGAACTAGCTGTACCCTGCCACGCTTCGCAGTGGCACATTGTGATTGAATGGTTGAGAAATGAGAAACAAAACAAAGAATACATTTCATATAAGTTTAATTTTGCAATACTTGTGCTACACAGCTGATCGTTAAAAAAACTGTTTTCTCGCGGTCGCAGATATGTGACTGATGCAAAAAATAAATAAAAACAACCCTTGATGCAGATTTTATATCATGTTACAATTTCAACTCAATCGGTGCAGAACTTTTTGAGTTTTTGAAGCGTACACAAACCAACATAACATTTTTATATATATATTGATTAGCTGAGTGCTAAAAAAAGATTTGAAGTTTATTTTGCAAACCGTACTTATCAAGCGACATTTGACAGATAGAGGTCATTGGCTTTCCTATTCTTATTTGAAACGCATTATATTTTAATTTTCTTATTAGGTATACAAAGTTCAAAAACTAGATTGATAATATCAAAGAATATTTTATAAGCATCATTGGGATATATACATCTGTGAAAATTGTTTGCGTTAAATATTTTAAGAAGACTTCTTCTTACGCACTTATATCTCTTATAATAGTATACCAAAACTTTTCGTTAAAGCTTCGACTTGAGAAAACTGAAATTAATTGACATGTATAATCCGATAAACCAACATCTAATACTTCAACAGAATATTGTTTGAAATTTATTTGTGAATGCAAGTTTGAGAGTGTGCGGTAATCTTCTTCTTCTTCTTCTTCGGTGGGTGTTTTCCGCAACTCGACACCAGGTGCCCATTTTTCGTGTGAGGATGGCCTTAGTCGTGCTATCCCAGCTCCCCCAAGAAGCTCAGCAGTCTCTTGGTGTCGCCGCAGGCCTCGAGTAGCGTCTGCGGGCTGCCCAGGTGTGTCATCCGATGTCTGGTCACGCTTCTGCACTGCAGCAGGACGTGAGTGCTCGTCTCCTCTTCCTCCATGCAGGGTCTGCACAGAGGACTGTCCGAGACCCCTATTTTAAACAGATGTTTATTAAAGTGTCCGTGTCCCGTGAGAATGCTCACTATTTGTTTCAAAGCATGTCTTGGTAACTTGCAAAACTTACTTGCTAGCCGTGGTTCTACCTTAGGTATGGCCTCCCTGGCTTGCCAGCAGTCTGCAAGTCCAGCCCAGTATTCGTTGTGTTGTCGCAGGTACCGTTCCCTAATCCAACTTCGCAGCAGCCGGTATGGGATCGGTACGATTGGTTCTGGGCCATATACCACAGTGTCCGACCCTCTTCTGGCCAGACAATCTGCTGCATCATTGCCCCTTGACCCACTATGTCCTTTTATCCATTGGAGTATGACCTCGTTTTCTCTGCCTACCTCCATGAGTTTGCACATTCAAAAACCAAGCCGGACGTCATTACATTGTTGTCTAGCGCCTGGAGTACCGAGGCACTGTCAGAGAGTATCCGGATGTTCCTACCCCTGATTGCACGTTTTGTGATGGCCTCCGCTGCTCTGACAATGCCTATACACTCCGCCTGAAAGA